TCTGGGGAATGAGCTGGAAAGTGCCAGTGCAGAAGGTGCCACAAGAGTTAGCGGGCTGGGGACCCCTCCCTCCTGCCCCACCCTGGGATCTGCACATGCATCTGGGGCAGGCCCAGGTCAGGGTGGGAGCGCTACTCAGGAGGGGCTGTTGGAAGCCCTTGACCTTCTCAACACCCGCTTCCCCTGCAAAGGACTCTGTGGTTCTGGCGCAGTGGCTGGGAGTCAGGCTGATGTGGGTCTCCACGGTCCGTGCACCGTCTCAGCTGAGGACCCCACCCCCAACGCCCAGCAAGACCTGAGCTGCAGTGGCTTCGACCGGTAAAGGGGAATCACAGCCCCTCCACCACCCAGGCTGTCAGGGGACCACCCCGCATGGCGAGAGGAAAGCATGAATGCCTAGCACAGAAGAGGCAGCCTCACCTGCCAAGAAAATAGTAGGAAATACAGTCAATAATATTGTAACAGTGTTTGGTGACCAATGGGGACTATACTCAGCGGGGTGAGCATGGAGAATTGTACAGAATTGCTGAATCACTGGCTGGACACCTGAAACTAACATAAGATTGTAGGTTAATTACACTTCTATCTTAAAAAATTCCATAACTGGGGAGCCTGGGTGGCTCAGTCGGTGAAGCATCCAACTTCGGCTCAGGTCGTGATCTCATGGTTCGTGGGTTCAAGCCCCACGTTGGGCTCTGTGCTGACAGCTCAGAGCCTGGAGCCTGCTTCAGATTCTGTACCTCCCTCTCTCTCTGACCCTCCCCTGCTCATGCAGTCTCTCTCTCTCAGAAATAAATAATAATAATAGTAAAAACATTAAAAAGAAATTCCATAACTGGGGCGCCTGGGTGGCTCAGTCGGTGAAGTGTCTGACTTCAGCTCAGGTCATGATCTTGCGGATTCTGTGTCTCCCTCTCTCTCTGCCCTTGCCCTGCTCGTGCTCTGTCCTCTCTCTCAAAGATAAAAATAAACATTAAAAAAAAAACTTTAAAAGACCACGACTTAAATAAATATATATGTGTGTGTACATGTGCTGTGCTGTCATGGGGTCTATCCTGCACTTAGCACTGGGCCAAGAACACCACGAGCCATCACAACACCTGCCCTGCACCCCTTCACCCCTCCCTGCACCTCCATCCTTCCGGATGCTCTAGTCTGACACTGGGGCCATTCTGTGTTTCCTCTTCTCCTGGCCCCACAATACCAGTGTTATCAGGAGCTCCTACCAGTCCTACTTCCAAAACAGCTCTTTCCTTCACCCCCTTCTCACCGCCTCCCTCATCCGAGCCCCGCAGTCTCTCTCTGGACCGTTCAACCGTCTCCTAACTGGTGCCCGAGTTTCCTCTCTTGAGCCCTGCCATCCCCCCCACTCCCAGGCCATTGCCTACTCTGCAACCCAAGGGGTCTTAAAATATTTGTAATTTTGGTTTGGGGTGTGGTATTTTTCTTCCAGCCTTGTTGAGAGATAACGGACAAAATATTTGTAATTCTAACATTCAAATGGGAAATATATTCACGTGGTTCGAAAACATTAAAACGTGACACGTGTTAATCCACAGGGTCGCGGTGAAGAATCTTGCTCTCACTCTTTCTTCCAACCACCCACTCTTCACCCAATGAAACTCTTCCTTCCGTTTCTTTCTGCAAACGCAGCAGCAGGAACACATGCTTGCATTTCTGCCTTTTCCACCTAAGAGAGACACGGCTCAGCCCATTCTGTGTTTGATGTCTTTACTGACAGTAAGTCTACAGCACAAGCAGGCTCATTCCTTTTCGCACTGCTTGGTATTCCCCGCTTTCACAGACAGACTGGGATACTCCCCGAGTAATAGATATCTGAGCTGTTTCCATATGTACATGTGTATATTTATTTCAAAAGTTACCATCAAGAATGACCTGGCGCTGATGTCCTTTCTCATGTAGGAGGCAGGGCAAATTTCCAGAAGTGGAGCCGCTGATAGATAATGCCAAATGCATCTTCCACAAGCAACATGTTAGAGTCTGTTTCTTTTCTTTTTTTTTTTTTAATGTTTTATTTATTTCTAGGAGAGAGAGAGAGAGACAGCGTGAGCAGGGGAGGGTCAGAGAGAGAGGGAGTCACAGACTCTGAAACAGGCTCCAGGCTCTGAGCTGGCAGTCAGCACAGAGCCCGACGCGGGGCTCAAACCCACGAACCGTGAGATCATGACCTAAGCGAAAGTTGGATGCTTAGCTGACTAAGCCACCCAGGCGCCCCTTTTTTTTTTTTTTTTTAATTTAAAGAGTCTGTTTCTGCAAACTTTCACCAAGTGAATGCGTGCCCGAAGTTACGCATTATTGCCAATTATCTCATACTGATGAAAAATGGCAGCTTGGCATAGTTTCAATGTGCATTTCTCTTATTTTTTCAAAGTTTATTTATATTTGAGAAAGAGAGAGAGAAAACACAAGCCAGAAAGAGAAAGAGAGAGAGAGAGAGAGAGAGAGAGAGAGAGAGAGAGAATCTGAAGCAGGCTCCAGGCTCTGAGCTGTCAGCACAGAGCCCTATGTGGGGCTCGAACTCACGAGCTCATGACCTGAGCTGAAGTCGGATGCTTAACCAGCTGAGCCATTCAGGTGCCCCTGTGTTTCTCTTATCTAAGCTTTATCTAAGTAAAGCTGAGCATCTTTCATATGACTAGGGGTCATTTGCTTTTTATTCCTTGTGAATTAATTGTTTACATCTTTTGTGCATTTTTCTATTAGGCTGTCTATTTTGCTGTTGTCGATTTCTAGATTTGGGGGCACAATTATAAAGGTCCTCTACTCTAAGATTTCTTTTTTTTTTAATTTTTTTAATCTTTATTTATTTTGAGAGAGAGGGAGAGACAGAGCACAAGCAGGGGAGGGGCAGAGAAAGAGGGAGACACAGAACAGAAAGCAGGCTCCAAGCTCTGAGCTGGCAGCACAGAGCCCGACGTGGGGCTTGAACTCATGAACTGTGAGCCAAAGTCGGCCACCCAACAGACTGAGCCACCCAACTACTCTAAGATTTCAAAGGAAATCTCTCCTGTTTCCATACGGTACTTAGGCAGTTTCACTTTTGACATTTCAACTTCAACTATGTTTCAGTTATGTTTTAAAAACACAAAACAGATCATATGACACTCCTGCCTAAAATCTCCAAAGACCTTCCCCTACACTCAGGATAAAATCCAGGCACCCCTCTATGACAAGTTATAGCCATGCTCCTCCACTTCAGTTCCGTGAACATGAACGTGCCAAGTTCTCTTCTGCCACAGGCCTTAGCAGCTGCTGATCCCTCTGGCTGGAATGCACTTCCTCTGCCCCTTTGCCCAGACGGCCCTTCTTACCCTTCGGTTCAGTAGGTAAAACTCCCTTGAGCCAAAAGGTGAGGGACTTGCAACCACTGTTTGATCTCAAACTCTATTCGGGTGAAAGGTCAGGAGTCGAACAAACCTAGCTCCTCCTGGCTGCAGCAAGCCAGAGATGTAAATCTTTAATTGACATTGTGATTAGAACAGTCAAACAAGTTCTTCAGGCAACTGTTAAGCCACCGCCCCCCCCACCTCTAACCGCAAAATTCTCGCTTCTGTACACCGGCTTCGGCCCCTCTCCCTGTATAAACCCTGAGCTATGGCTCGATGGCGCGCTCTTCTGAGGACTCTTTGGGTGCTCGGGAGGGGCCGTCCGGCCGGACTAAGATAAATCTGAATAACCAACTCTTTTTGTGTCTGTGGGCTTTGTCCTCGGTGATTCTCCTTTGGAAAAGGTGGTCTATCAAGTCCAATGCTTTCTCTTCAGCGAAGTCCAGCCTCACCTCTGCCACTTTCTGAGCAAACCTTACGTTTACTCATCTGCGTCTTAAGTTTCCCGTGCACTTCCCCGGCAGACATGAGCCCCATGAGGACTTGCCTGCCTCCGTCACAGCCCTGGGCTGTGGTCTCCTGCTCCCCCACACTAGGCCCGCTTAACCCGCAAACACAGCCAGTGCCCGCCGCTCCATTCCTGCAGGCGCCTCCACAGAAGGTTCTTGTCCGTGACGGAGCCAGTCTGAAGCCTTGCGGCAAATGGACACAAAGGGAAAGGCCAGGACTTCAACCTGACTCAGGAAATGAAGCCCCCGGGGCTGTCAGGAGTCTCCCAGGTCCGGCTGCCCCTCACATGCTCTCTTGGAGGCCACATCTCCCTCTTCTGAGCTCCTGGCCTCTCAGACACCTGCTCTGCTGCTCCACGCGACAGTCTGGCTCCCCAGACAGGTGGGGCGGGCTCCCTGAGAATGACAAAGAGGCTCACCTAATTGCATCCATGGGTAAACCGAGTCCTAGTGAGGTCAGCCCACTAACCAGGGTCCCCCCAGCTAGTGCCTCTGGGAAGCCAAGTCCCGGCTGCTCACAACATCACGGCAGCACTGGGCCTGTCCGGCCAACCAATGGCGACCTCAAAGCAGAGGGTCCAGGAGTGCCAACCGTGGCTCTGGCGCGGCATTCTGTGCACAAGATGTGGTGGGCAAGATGCCCTCCTCCCCCTGGCCTCCAAACAAACCATGCCAGCGCATACTCATTCAAAGTTTTCCTGTAACCGGACCAACAAAAATTTTAAAAAAAAAAAAAGGTGGAATCGAATGTATTTTATTTAACCTAATATATTCAAATTATTATCATTTCAACATATAATCGATGTAAAGCAACACCGCGAGCTCTGTAAGTCTTTGTCGCTAGTTCTTGGAAACTGGGCGCTCACAACACGGCTCAAGGCGGCTAGACCCGTTCCAACCGCTGGGCGGCGGGGGGAAGCGAGGGGCGCCCCCGGCAGCTCCGACCAACACGCGCCCGGGGCCCGCCGCTGGGGGTGGGCCGGTGACGGGGTCCGGCCCGGGTGGGCTCTCAGGGACGGGGCGGGGCCAGCGCGGCAGCCCCGCCCCCGCCCCCCCGGCGGCCGCCAGAAGCCGCAGGTGTGGGACCAGGCAGCGCGCGCAGCCTCGCGCCCTCCCGGCCCCGCGGCCAGCGCGGCCCACTCACCTCGCCAGCGCCTCCACGGAGCCCGGGATGGGGATGACGCCGTCCTCGCCGCCATCGAACAGGACGCCCGAGATGTCGAGCAGCACCCCGCGCACGCCGGCCAGCCGCTCGCTCCACGCAGCCATCGTGCCCGGCTGAGCACCTCTGCCTCCTCAGACTCCGCGTCCCGGCTCGCGGCTGGGAACTGCACCCGGCTCGCGGCGCAGGGGCGCCTGGGAAGTGTAGTCCTGGGCGGGCGGGGTGGTCCGAGGGGGCGGGGCCAGCGGGGCGGGGCCGCGGGGCGCACGCCTGCTAAACGGGAGCCGTCTCCCCGGATCGGTGGACCAAAGGCAGGAAAAGCAAAAAAACAAGTCCCTCCCCCAAAACCAGACTTCTAGACAACAAGGAGACACCCACATGTAAAAGTAGTACAGATTAGGGGCCCCTGGGTGGCTTAGTCGGTTAAGCGTCCGACTTTGGCTTAGGTCATGATCTCGCGGTTCGTGGGTTCGAGCCCCGCGTCGGGCTCTGTGCTGACTGCCAGCTCAGAGCCTGGAGCCTGTTTCAGTCTGTGACTCCCTCTCTCTCTGACCCTCCCCTGCTCACGCTGTCTCTCTCTCTCTCTCCTAGAAATAAATAAAAAATATTTTTTAAAAAAAGTAGCACAAATTAAAGAGATCATTGGTGCCCTCATCCTCTGGCTGAAGAGTATGACCAGCCTTAAAAGCAATGGAGATAGTTGGATCAATTGGCGGGACAATCCTATGCCTGGGAAGCGATGCTACGGAAGTGATTCTCTCAAGACCATGAATGCAATGTGAGCTATCACGCCAAAACAAGCTGGAAGAAAAGCCAATTGGCATGCACACATAACATGGCTACAGAAAGAAATATGCCATGAAAAATGAAGACTGCATAGCTACACGGAAACAGCTCCTTATAGCATATGAGAAAGCAGACTACAAAACTATAATGTAGACCACAGCCCTGCAAAATTAAGGGTGCCTAGGAACGGATGGGAGGAACTAGGGAATATTTCAGTGCGTTAGGCCGGTGATATTTTGGATGAATGGTTACATTCCCTTTAATATTACATCATCTTTTTATTTTAAAAAATTTTTGAGTGTTTATTTTTGAGAAAGATAGAGCGCGAGTAGGAAAGGGACAGAGAGAGTGGGAGACAGAAATCTGAAGCAGGCTCCAGGCTCTGAAGTGTCAGCACAGAGCCCAGCACATGCCCCTAATGTTACATTATTTTTACAATAAATACTGACAGAAAACAGGGAGGGTTTCCTTAACTGCCCCTGTGAATTTTCCAAGTTTTAAAATGAAATTTGAAAAAAATAAAAATAAAAAAAAATAAATAAAAAAATAAAATGAAATTTGAAAAAATCAGACTCCTCTAGGCATGGCTTAGCTTTGAGGTATCAAAAGAAAACCGTATTTGAATGGCCACTTCATTTCAGCCTGCTGAGTCACAGATAGTATGAAGAAATTGTCAGAACTTTCACCATTTCAGGGGTGCCTGGGTGGCTCAGTCGGATAAGCGTCCGACTCTTGGTTTCAGCTCAGGTCATGATCTCGCAGTTCATGATTTGGAGCCCTGCATCAGTCTCTGCACTAACTGTGGGTTATGTTAGCTATGGTTATTATGTTAGCTATGGTTCTTAGTTGCAGAAGATAGAAACCACTCCAGCTTAAGGGTTATGTTTACATGGGGCAGTAAGGAGCTTGCCGATTTCCATGGGAACTGGAGAACCAAGCTCAAGTACTATACAGCCAAGAGCCCCCTTGAAGATGTCCACCTCCTCATCTCCAGAACCTGTGAATGTGTTGCCCTACCTGGCACAAGGGACGTCGCAGACATAAGTAAACTAAGGATCTTGAAATGAGGGGTTTTCCTGGATGATCCAAATAGGCTCAAGTGAATCACAGGAGTCCTTATAAGGCAAAGAGGGAGACAGGAGATTCAGAATCTTGACAGTAGAGCAGAAGACAAGACAACAGAAGCAGAGCTAAAGAGAGAGAGAGATTTGAAAATGTTGTACTACTGGCCTGGACTGTGAAAGGGCCATGAGCCAAGAAGTTCAGGAAGCTTCTAGAAGCTGGAAAAGGGAAAGATATGGATTCCCCTCTAGAGCCTCCAGAAGGAATTCAGCCCTGCTGACACCTTGAGTTTAGGGCTCCTTGTCTTTAGAGCTAGAAGATAATAAATTTGTGTTGTTTTAAGCTACTGCCCTTAGGACAATTTGCTACAGCACCAATAGGAAATGAATACAGGCACTTAGTTTCTCACCTGAAGAATGACATTGGTCCAAGGTGACAAGATGGTATTGTGGGCCACTGATGGGCTCAGACCTGGTCCAAAAGTCCATGATCTTTCTTAGAATGTAATGGGTGAAGGGCATTATATAAATTAGCTTGCATTACATGGGGCTGCATGTAATGGAAACCCAACTACAGTTGCTCAACCAAATAGAGCAACTCTTGGTCAGATACCAGGAAGTCAAGATGAAGGCAGGCCTCGGCAGGTACAAGAGCTTCCAGGACTATGAGGGAATAGGCTACTTCCAACTTCTGCTCTGTTCTCCTTAACATGAGGCGTTCACCCTCATGCTCTCACGATTCCTGCTGTGCCCCTAAAACATGATGTCTGCATTTCAGGCAAGAAGAGGGGGAAGGAAAAGGCCAAAAGGTCTGGGACAGCTGAGTGTTGCCCTTCTACCAGGAAGGCAAAAGCTTCCCCCCAAATCCGGATCTGATAGACTGTTGTTTATATCTTTTGGGCCAGAGCTAGTTAAGTGGCACATTGACACTATCGTGTGCAGAGCTCCAGGCCTGTGACATTTCCAATTACAAGTTCACAAGTCATGTCTGAATTTCAGCTCAAACGTGAATCCATCCCATCTTCCTCTGCCACAGTAGATGTAGTATAATCCTCCTAGATTTGCTTGTATCAGCCAGGACCCTTTGGTTGTCAGTAACTGAAACCCAATTTCAAATGGCTTAAATTTCAAAGGAAGGCTTTGGCTCAGGTAACCAGATAGTCTGGCAATTGATGGCTTCAGACATGGCTGGTTCTAAGGCTAAAATGGTGGTGTTTTGTTATTGTTTTTTAAAAATAATTCCATTTCATGTTTATTTATGTATGTTGAGAGAGAGAGAGAAGATGAGCATGAGCAGGGGAAGGGCAGAGAAAGAGGGAGACAGAGAATCCCAACCAGACCCCGTGCTGTCAGCACAGAACCCGGTGTGGGGCTCAAATTCACCAGCTGTGAAATCATGACCTGGGCCAAAATCAAGAGGTGGACACTTAACCGTCTGGGCCACCCAGGAGCCCCTCTAATGGTGGTGTTCTCAGCTCTCTGACTCCATTTCTGGGCTCTGCCGCATCTGCAGATCGACTTTCTTCTCTCTCACTGTGGCCGGGCTTTCTCCAGGCAGTTGGGAGAGACAGGTGTGACCATTGCAGGCCATCAGAATCCCAGGTAAACCACGTGTACAACAACCTGCCGAGACCAGGGGTCCCTGAAGGATGGACGGTGTCGGCGAGGGAGGGACTGAGAGAGCCCCGAGATTCTTTCTGATCACCAGGCAGGCATCTCTGCCCTGTCGGTTTTGGTGTCTTTATTCATAGGTCAAACATTAACATGGCATCAGAAAATGGAATTTTTACAATGGATAGTTCTCTATGCTAAGATGTTTTTTGGAAGTGTTCAGAAACAGGTTTTAGAGAAATATTTTTGCAGAACTGCCCCAATTATAGTGAGGTTGAGTAACTAAGAAGATAACAGGGTGTTCACACTTTAATAACGCTAAGATTAAGTCATAGGCTTGTAGCTATTCTTATCCATCCTCATCACAGCTGCCAGGGGAAAGGAAGGTGTTTGTGGAATGTAGGCCTTAGGGAAGGGGCTGCTGAACATCACCAGTTAGCAAAAGTATATGTAGTAACTTATGTTCTGTTCCTTCTAAGTTAGGCTCTTTGTCTCTGGGCAAGACTTGATTTTCCAGTTATATGCTTTATGGCACCAGAAAGCCAACCATACCTTTAAAGAGTTTAGCTCATTTCCAATACATAGAATAGCCTCTTCGAGTGCATTTACCTTTGTGTCTAGCTTTATGATTTCATGAATAGCGAGGCCATGAGAGACATTTTTGTTTGGCTGATTTACACGTTGAGCTGTATGAACATCTTGGACTAACGCAACGGTAGAAACGGGATTGTACATGTAAAGGTCAATCTTTTATGAGTAAGGGTCATTAGCCTGTTCATCAGTCAAGGGAAAGTATGGTGGGAAACAGGACCTGCTGGAGACATGATATCTGTTCCTATAATCCAAACAAGAAGTTCCCACAATAAGTTACTTCACAGGGTGCAATCATCATACCAGGGCCAAAATAAGGGGATAAGTCACTCCAGATATTGATCAACAAGGTACCCTAGTGGTCAGTGCTCAAGCAGAAGTAATTGAGTGGGGGTGGATATTGGTCATCACCTGACTGGCAAGAGACCGTGCAAACTTGCTTTAACCTCACCGGGAATTTTCTCGACTACTGGGCTCAGAATGGCTCCCAGCAACAACCTTTTCCTCAGTTTGGTCTGACAGTTCCAGAAAGAACTCTGACCCTGTTGTGTCAGAGCCCCCAACGCCTTGTGGCTGCATTGAGAGGGATCCAGCCTGACTCAGGTGCCCTGCAAGGGCTGGGGAGGCACACCTGTGCACAGTCATACCGAGGCCATGTGGAATATGGAAGAAGCCTCCCAGCAAAAAGCAGGGCACTGCTACGCAAGTGCTACAGCCTGAAAGTTTGTGTCCCCAACACCAAGAAAACCTCCTATGTTGAAATCCTAATCCTTACGTGAGGGTATTAGGTGGTGGGGCCTTTGGGAAGTGATCAGGTCATGAGCATGGAGTCTTCATAAAAGGGATCAGTACCCTCATTAAAAGCAACCCGGGGGAGCCAGCTCTCCCTTCCACCCCATGGCAGCATGCAAGAGATCAGGCAGTCTGCGACCCAGAAAAGGGCTCTCACCAGAACCGGACCGTGCTGGCACCCTGACCTTGGGCTCCCAGCCTCCACCATTGTGAGCGATAAGTTTCTGTCATTTATAAGCCCGCCAATCTGTGGCCTTTTGTTTAAGTGTCCAAGTGGACAGGACAAAGAAGGGAGAGACACTGTGCAGGCAAAATTAGGGTCCCCCACAGAGACCT